CCTGTTGCGCGTTCTCAAGCATACAACGGGAAGCTAAAGTAAACAAATCTAACGTCACCTGTTCCAGAATACACACAAAAGCGAGATCTTTCATATTCAGGAGACGACTTATCCCTTCACTTTTAGAGGAGTACAAAGAGCGGTCGAACCGCAACATGTCCTGTTTTAATACGGATGATCTCCTTCCAGCTTTAAGACTTTGGGGTAAGATTTCCGAGAAAGGTAAGCGACTGTTCATAAATTTGTATTTTCTATTTTGGCAACAAAGTATAGAGTCGAGTAGACGTCGTTTCTATAGTACAGTCCCTAGGACATCTCATAGCAGACGTTCTATTCCTATATTCTTTAATTTGGCCGTTAGTTACAGTGAAAAATGCAGGTATCTTCTCGGTATTAGCATAACCCTTTACCATTGCTACTTTTACCTCTATCTCCCTCCATCTGCATAAAACGTTTGAAAATCTTCGGAAGTAAAATCCTGAACGGCAAAAAACGATTAGCTGATGTGATTAAGGCCAGAAGTAAAAGGAGTGAAAGACAGCTTTTGGAACAAACTTCAACAAAGTTGATGGAATCCCATTTCACAATAATATACAAACGGGCAGTTCGTATGCAGCATCTTAATGGCACGCTGGGACAACTTGCGGTTGCGCATCTTTCTAGCTCACTGCTGGCTGTTAGTACACTCTCTACTAGAAAACACAAACTGGGGCGACTTTTGGCAGCGCAGCATCTGCCTTAGCATTTTCCGGTATTTGCCCCAGTAGACTATGTAGACAAAAAAGTTTGCCGTCGAGTTGATCTGCGAACCAAGTGCAACCACATTTGCGCATATGTTTAGGCAGACCATGGAGATGCAGGTGCGGTGAAGCAAGAAGTAAAGATAAAGTAACTGGAGCATACTCAGAGGCAGCATGAACAGAACGAAGGTACCAATGACGATTAGGAGACCATGAGTCAGTTTAAGTCGACGTGCATTACTGCTTGCTGAGCCCTTGCTCGTTCCATTGATAAAAGTCTGATACTTTTCCGTCTGCCCCCTCTGAAAACGAATCGATCGTTGTTGACATCGTCCAATCTGCAGACTGCAGACAATGAGGATAATCAAGGGGATTAACGTGACCAGTATTCCGTCAGTAAAACAGTGTATTTGCCAAAGCCATGACTTCAGCTCCGACCACTCTGGCCTCACAATCTTGACTGCCGCATAGCAGATGAAAGAAAGTCGAAGCAGGACGGAAAATCCAAAAGTAGCAGCTATGAGACCGTTAGTTAATTTCCCATTCCACCACACTTTACTGCGAAAGGGAAAGCGGACGACTAGGAAGCGCTCCACCGCAATGAGTACAACCAACAAATTTCTGAAACCTTCGAGAATGCTCCCGAGTGGAACAATTGTGTGAGTTATAACAGGCCATCGCAGGGGACAATCCCGGCTACAAAAATTCATTGGTTGGAAAACGAGTATGCACAGGAAGATATATAGAACATCAGTTAGAGACAAGATTATCAGGAGCTTACGAGTTGTTCGGGGCGTTGTCTTGTCTTCACAGAACATGCAGATGCTAAGCCCGCTGGTGACTATGCCAACCACACACACCGGTAGACCGAGGAGAGAGAGAAAAATAAGCCGATTGTAGCGAAGCAAATCATCGTACGTTGGACCATCAAGCCAGACCTGTCGCATCATACACGGAACGCTCTCATTAAGTGTTGAATTCGTAGCCATTTGGAATTTAATAACTCCGGAATTGGTGAACTTGTTGTGCAAGATTCAGCGTGTAGTCGTCTGCCTGGTTAGTGCTCTAGGCAAAGGCAACCTGTCAGGTTTGCGTACAATGCGTTACTGGTCAAATCACCTGGCCAATGGAATTATGATTACAGAGTGAGTGCGTTTAGATTAAAACAGCGGCCGATTAAGGCTGTCTGACCAATCACTAATGGGATTAATGTTGTAAAATGAAAAATGCAAAGGTGCAATGAGGCAGTCCTTGATTTTGCCCATTGGGAGCTCAGAGAAATAACATCTTTAATAAGATAACGTGCGGGCATGCCGGTCATTGACTTTTAACTTTACGTGGTATGGTCAGGTGAGCGTGTAAATGTACCAGGTTTTCTACACTAGGAATTGATGGCGAAGAGATTTAGGCCTTCCTGGAAACAGCATTTAACATTTTTTTTTACCTTCATTTTCCCCAGAAGAGGAAGAAGAAGTGGAGGCG